GCGGACGGCAGCGGCCTGATTTTTCTCCGGTGTTCCTGGGTGCCTGTCGGAGACGATAGCACTGATACCTACGTCAGCAGCCTTCTCCTTCAGGTGTTTTGACAGGTCATTTTACTTTCAACGACCAAATAAAGTTTCCCCGGAAGACTGAGAGTCAAAATAAATGGCATCGGAAAATGTTGAGGCAGATAAGAAACAAACAAACAAACAAGCTTAGGAGCCCTGCAGATTCTCCCGCCAAGCCTTCAGTGGTGCCAGGCAGTGAGGAGCGACCCCACCATCTCCCTCCCCCTCCTGGAGCCACCCAAACAGACAATGAATATGCAAGCAGGGGGCTTGCAGGGTAGATGCTAAGTGCTTCCGCCCTTCCCTCCTATCAAACTGCTGTCCACCAGTCCTTGCACTCCAGAGAGTTTGGGGGCCCCATTGACATCTCTCTGGGTCCCAGGAAGCAGAGGCAGTGTCCTGGTCTCCTAAATCTGTGAGCTTCAGAAGTCAGACCTCACTTTGCATAGTGCCCTTCTGAACCAGCAAAACCCATCTCTTTAACCTTTAAAGAAGCCATTTCTTTGGTCCCCGGTCCAAATTCAATAAAAAAAAAAATGATTAGGCTATAATACCAGAAGGCTCAAGAGCGAGGGAAGAGACGTTAACTTTAATTAATTAATTAATTACAAGCTTTTTAAAAAATATTTTATTTATTTATTTGACAGAAAGAGCCACAGCTAGAGAGGGAACACAAGCAGAGGGAGTGGGAGAGGGAGAAGCAGGCCTCCCGCGGAGCAGGGAGCCCGATGCGGGGCTCGATCCCAGGACCCTGGGATCATGACCTGAGCTGAAGTCAGATGCTTAACGACTGAGCCACCCAGACACCCCTAAGATCTTATTTTTAATTAATCTCTATACCCAATGTGGGGCTCGAACTTACAACCCCAAGACCAAGAGTCACAATACTCTATGGACTGAACCAGCCAGGCACCCCAAGACTTCAGTTTTAAAGGGAAAGTCCAGAAAAAACTGGATTGACTTTTTAAGTAGGGCATGAAGATGAGATACACCCTATCAAAGGCATTTAGCGGTAACTCCAAGGAGGGTCCATGGAGAGCAGGTGACCTCAGGTCTGTTTCATGTAATAGCTGGGCGACGTGGAAAGGTTGTATGACAACCTTTAAACTGTTGTTTAAATAACATCTCATTTCCAATGAGCTGAAATTCAGCCCTACCAGGTCCAAAGACGTCATTATGTGTAGACCCTCTGACAAGTCTGTGTTCTTGCTCACTGAGAGCACGCCCTGGAGACGACAATGGCTGAGATGCTGTGTATGGAAGCAGGTGGGGTGAGGAGGGGAGGAGAGACGGGGGTTTGCAGGATTGGGAAAACAAGAGATCTAGGGAAAGGTTTGTTCTCACACGTTTTCATTATGTTTTATCTTATAAAGGCAAGGGGCATATGGGATTTCCTGTATTGTTTCTTACAACTGCATGAAAATCTACAGCGATCTCGAAAGTAAAAAAAAAAAAAAATTAAAGAAAGAAGCAAGAGGAGAAACTTTTCGGAAGTAGAACTTTTGGACAGTATTACATTTAACAATGCAGCTTTTAACAAGGCACAGGCAGAACTCCTTTCTTTCCTGTCCTGTGTTGAGAAAGAGTGAGCAGGACTTTTTTTTTTTAATTTTTTAAATTTTTTTGTTATGTTAATCACCATACATTACATCATTAGTTTTTGATGTAGTGTTCCATGATTCATTGTTTGTGCATAACACCCAGTGCTCCACGCAGAACGTGCCCTCTTTAATACCCAGCACCAGGCTGACCCATCCCCCCACCCCCCTCCCCTCTAGAACCCTGTTTGTTTTTCAGAGTCCATTGTCTCTCATGGTTCATCTCCCCCTCTGACTTACTCCCCTTCATTCTTCCCCTCCTGCTATCTTCCTCCTCTTTTTTTCTCAACATATATTGCATTATTTGTTTCAGAAGTACAGATCTGTGATTCATCAGTCTTGCACCATTCACAGCGCTCACCATAGCACATACCCTCCCCAATGTCTATCACCCAGCCACCCCATCCCTCCCACCCCCCACCACTCCAGCAACCCTCAGTTTGTTTCCTGAGATTAAGAATTCCTCATATCAGTGAGGTCATATGATACATGTCTTTCTCTGATTGACTTATTTCACTCAGCATAACACCCTCCAGTTCCATCCACGTCGTTGCAAATGGCAAGATCTCATTCCTTTTGATGGCTGCATAATATTCCATTGTGTATATACCACTTCTTCTTTATCCATTCATCTGTCGATGGGCATCTTGGCTCTTTCCACGGTTTGGCTGTTGTGGACATTGCGAGCAGGCCTCTTGAAGCCTCTGAAGGGGGTTCCGTGCATGCTTTTCTCTGTCAACTTGGTAACATGGAGTTCCAAAAACTTCCGGTTTAAGGAAGCAAGTCCTAGCACTCTTCTTATCTTCACCTCCTGTAATGATAAACAATCACTTTAATTACTGCAGAATGCTGATCAGGAAAGAATACACTTCTACAGTTATTTTTGAGGTGAAAAAGTAACAATTTAATATTCCCATTATTTACCTACCTTCATCTGTCCGTCCACGGTAGCATTCTTTCCTGGAAGAACACTGGGGCCAAAATGGGCAAGGATTCAGAGGGTGGGGTGTTCCACATATTTTCTGACTCCTCCCCCTTCTAAACGGGCTCATTTAGCCAGTTTCTAAGTGGGGGCTTCCCATGCTGTAAATACCCACCTTTTGGAAACCTCCCAAGCAAAGACAAACACCAATTGTTATGGATTGAATATTTCTGTCCCCCACCCCAAATTTGTATGTTGGAGTCTTACCCTCCCCCCTCCCCCCGTGATGGCATTAGGAGGTGGGTCCTTGGGGAGATGAGGATTGGATGAAGGTGTGAAGGTGGGGCCCTGTGATGGGATTAGTGCCCTTTAGGAGTCGTGAGAGGACTTTGCTTCGCCTCTCTGCTTTCCACTGTGGGGAGGTAACATGATCTCAGACTTCTAAACTGTGGGAAATAAATTTTTGTTGTTATAAGCCACTCAGCTGCTGGTACCTTGTTAGAGCAAAGCTTGAACTGACCAAGACACCAGCACAGCCAACCAGGCACACCCCACCCCCAACATCCCATCCTCTGGAGCAGCAGTTCTCAAACCCATTCATTTCAGGATCCCTTTACTCTTAAAAATTAAGGACCCCAAATGACTTTTATTTTATTTTTTAAAAGATTTTATTTATTGATTTGAGAGATAGAATGAGTGAGGGAGAGCAAAGAGGGAGAAGCAGATTCCCTGCTGAGCAGAGAGCCTGACTCAGGGCTCGATCTTAGGACCCTGAGATCATGACCTGAGCTGAAGGCAGACGCTTCACCGACTGGGCCACCCAGGTGCCTCCCCTCCCAAGAACTTTTATTTGTGATGTTTATTTATTTTTATTAAAGATTTATTGATTTATTTTAGAAAGAGTACGAGCAGGGCAGGGGCAGAGGGACAGGGAGAGAGACGCTTAGGCCGACTCAGCACTGAGCACAGAGCCCCATGCAGGGCTCAATTTCACCACCCTGAGACCACGACCTGAGCCGAAACCAAGAGTTGGACCCTTAACTGACCTCACCACCCAGGCACCCCATGATATGTTTATTTATAGCTCATGTACTATATAGAAATTTAAAAAATATTTATGAGTTCATTTAAAAATAATAAACTATTACATATTAACATATATATTTTTTAAAAAATAAAAATTAAATTTTCCAAAACAGTTAGTGATGAGAATGGCATTGTTTTAAAGTTCTGCACATCTCTTTGATACCTCACTTAATAGAAGACAGCTAGATTCTCTTATCTGCTCCTGCTCTCAGTCTGTTTTGATGTCATACATTATGTGACCTCTGGAAAACTTCACTGTACACGCATGAGAGACTGACACAGTATTATTAGTAGGAAGACAGTTTTGACCTTGTAGCTCCACAGCAAGAGTCTTCAGGATCCCTACACCTCTCTAGGTTTCCAGGCTGTGCTTTGAGAACTGCCATTTCCGCCCGAGCCTAGGGCACTTCTCATAGGTGCTTTCCACTGTGAGAGTCCTGCTTCTTTGAAGTTCTGGTGATATTCATGACCTCTGGGTTCCCCCTGCACCTTGACCTGCGACCTGCTGTGATTGATGTTTGTCAGCCCCTGCTAGGCTGTGAGCCCGGTGGAGAAAGATACTCAGTTTTATTCACCTTTATATCCTCAGGACCTAACACAGTGTCTGGCCTCCATTAGGCACTGGATAAATTCACATTTTAAATACATGTTTTAATTTTAAAAGCTGTATAGTTATGGCTGTATTATAGAAAATAGAGAGTAAAAAAAAAAACAAACACCCCCTATCACCCAAAAGTTATTTCTTGGGTGTATTTTTTATTGGTCTTTTTACAAAATGCAGTTTTTTAGAACTAGAATTACATCATATATAATAAATGAACAACATGATTTTGAATAACTTTTCCCCTCACCTAGCAATGGGTAAGTTTTTCTTTCTGATGTCTGTGACTACCATAGTGTTCCATCCCGTGGCTCTAACACAATGTACTTATTAAATATCCAATTATTAGCATGTTTAGGATGCTTCCAAATTGTTTTTATAATAAATACAGTGATCCTGTGAAGAATACTGTCACACATACAGCTTTTTTGGCATTTAGTGTGATTTCCTTAGAATAGATTCCCAGAAGTAAGATTACTGGGTCAAAAGATGCAGACATTTTTTATGGCTTTTAATACGTAATGAAAAATTGCTTTTCAAAAGGGTTATACTAATTTTCAATGCCACCAGCACTTTCAGGAATGTTTCACTACTCAAATTGTCAGCATAGGTACCATTAAGAATGCCGATCGATAAAATATTGTACCCTAGTTGTCAAAATTTTGCATTTCTTGAGGCTCATAAAATCAAAGTTTGTTGAAGAACGAGTGTCTAATACAAAACATTCTTTTGGGACATCTTTATTTCTGGAAAACTTTAGAGATTTTTTACTTGTGAACACTAGAAAAAGAACGCATGTTGTTAGGATTGGCACAGAATTCACTTTGACATTCAAATCTTAACGCCAAAATTCTCGAACGGGGACCTTTCGCTGATTCTGCTAGTTGTCTTGAACGGTAGCAAGGGAAAAAAGATAACATCTGAGTAATGAAATGTTCCACTGCAAACCATACAAGACGCACATAGAGGGGTTGGAGTTCTGCTTCTCCTTCAACTTTCCATCCCCCCCCCGCCCCCCCAAGTTGGAGGTTTCTGCCCTCTCCTTTGTTTCCGGTATCACCTGCCCACGTGCACCAGTGCTGACTTTCACGGGCAGGGGGCATCATCCTCCGGGCCACCTCGCGTGGCTCCGGGCTGCTCCGTGCAGTGAGCGCCGGTCCTCCCGGTGGACTCGGACTTCCAGAGCGGCCGCGGCGGTGCGTCCGTCCGTCGCGGGAGACTCCTGACCTGCTTCCAGGATGGCCTCCCACCCCGCGCACAGCGCGAGTGCGCCGGGCGCTGGAAGATTCACCGGGAAGAGCCACGACCGTGCGCCCGGGAGGGAAGGAAACTTGGCCTGCCTCGCCCTCTGGGCGGGAGCGCCGCGGTTCCGCGCTCCTCCAAGATTTCCTTCGGCGGCCTCATCCTGGGACAGGCACTTATGAGTCATCGTCTCTGGGGGTCACATGGTCAACGTGACCAAAATAAAGTTTCAGTATTTTAAGCCGCTAGAAAGGGGGACAACGGAGCACACCGGAGGCGAGCAGCAGCAGGCGGGCACCGGCGAGCACTGGCGAACCGGGCACCCGCGCGAGGAGCCGCGGCGGCGCGGGCGCCCGGGGGGGACGGGGCGCCGGGGCCGGGGGGAGGGGGGAAGGGGCGGGGCCTGGAGGGACGTACCCCTCCCCCACGGCCGGCAGCGCCGCCCGGACTCCCGGGCCGGCCGGCTCCGAGCGCGGCGCCCGGTCGACCTCAGCCCGGAAGCCCCGGGCTCCGCTATCGCCGGGCAGCGGCAGGCCGCGGGACTCCGGAGATCCGCCGCCTCCTCCACTGCCACCGGGACCCCACGCGCCGGCAGCGGCTTCCCCGGGAACGTCCTTCAGCCCCGGGAGCACGCGGGAAAAGCCCCAGCGCGCCAATGAGCGAGCGCCTTCCTCCTGACGGTCACGCTCGGGGGCGGGGCTTCCCTTCGCCGCTCCCGAGTTCCGGGAACCCCCTTTGATTGGTCTGGACGGCCTGGGAAACACTGTAGTAACGCCCAATCAAAGCGCCACGTCTCGGCCTCGAGGAAATATTCCGTGTCGGCTCGGTCCTAACTGGGCAGTTCTTTCCGGCTCTGGCCACTGGGAAGCTTTGTTTAGGTCTGGAAGGCGGGCTTTCCTGGGAGTGGGTGGGGAGGGGGCGTTGATTCTTGACCAATCCTTTCATTCCGTTGGGTGGTGACCAGCCAATGGGCCGGGCGGATAGGACGCTCCTCCCGGAGAGTAGTGAGACCCCTGGTGCCGGGCGATTGGTGGCGGGCAGTATGAGTGGCAGCCGCTCGGCCCAACGGGCGCAGTGCGTGGGCCGCGGGGCGGGGCCAGGGCGGGTGCGCGGCGGCGGCGGGGTGGCTGGGCCGGCGGCGGCGGCGGTACGAGGCGCGCGCTCGGGGTCCCGGTCGCGAGGAGGAGGAGGATGTGGCGCGCGGAGGGGAAATGGCTGCCGAAAACAAGCC